TGCTGGCTGGAGGTCCCCGTGCCCACCGGCTGGAGGTCCCCATGCCCCTTCTGTGCCCCTTCTGTGCCCCTGCTGGCTGGAGGTCCCCGTGCCCCTGCCGGCTGGATGTCCCCGTGCCCACCGGCTGGAGGTCCCCATGCCCGCCGGCCGGAGGTCCCGCGCCCCTTCTGTGCCCCTTCTGTGCCCCTGCCGGCTGGAGGTCCCTGTGCCCACCGGCTGGAGGTTCCGTGCCCCTTCTGTGCCCCTTCTGTGCCCCTGCTGGCTGGAGGTCCCCATGCCCCTTCTGTGCCCCTTCTGTGCCCCTGCCGGCTGGAGGTCCCCGCGCACCCGCCAGCTGGAGGTCCCCGTGCCCGCCGGCCGGAGGTCCCACGCCCCTTCTGTGCCCCTTCTGTGACCCTGCCAGCTGGAGGTCCCCGTGCCCACTGGCTGGAGCTTCTGTGCCCCTTCTGTGCCCCTGCTGGCTGGAGGTCCCCGTGCCCGCTGGCTGGAGAGCCCCACGCCCCTTCTGTGCCCCTTCTGCGTCCCTGCCGGCTGGGGATCCCCGTGCCCCTTCTGTGCCCCTTCTGCGTCCCTGCCGGCTGGGGGTCCCTGCGCCCCGCTGGCTGTACGTCATCACGCCCATGCCGCACCCCCACCCCTGCTGGCTGTGCAGGGCGCAGATGGTGGGGCCGTGGGGTCATGCTGGTGGAGCGCTGTTTGGCTAAGGAACCCCGTGCCGTGCCTTTGCTCTTGTGTTGGGTGTGTTGTGCTCTGGCTCGGTTAGAGACCTCTGCCTCCAGTGTCCTTGCTCGCAGTCCGTGGGGAGGGCCCACTGGGTCCCCTGAAAGGTCAGACTGGGCCTGGCCTGGCCCTCAGCAGTTGGAGTTGTCTCTGGGAGTCCCGGCTTCTCCCGTCTGCGCCTGGGTCAGGGGCTCCCGGGGTGCCAAGGGTCTGGTGTTAGGAGGTGGCAACCAGTGGCCGGGCCTGCAGAATGTTCCGGAAACTCGTGGGTCCCGGTAGCACTTAGGCTGGGACGATGGGCTCTTGTTCCCTTGGACGTCCCGCAACTGCACGATGCACCCCCTTGCTCAGTGAGTCACGTGTCAGATGCTGATGTCAGGTATGTCTGCAACAGGGGGCACAGGGACACGACCTCCTGCTCAGCCCCCGTGCATAGATGCCCGGGCGAGTGCTGTGGGGACATCTTGTGCCCTGAAGGCTGGGGCCTGCCCGTGGTGCCATCTGTCTGCTCCGTGCTGAGGACAGAGTGGGACCAGGTGGACATAGGACTCTCATGCAGCCCTGCCTCCCACCGCAGCCCAGAGGGACACTGTCACAGCTGGAGACCAGGCACCGGGCTTCCTCCATGCTGTGTTGTGGTCCCATGAGTGCCCGGCTCTGCCGGCACCTGGCCAGATGCCCACATCCTGAAGCGGCAGGCAGGTGGCAAGTTGGCGTCGCGTAAGATGGACCCGTATGGAGAGCAGTGTGTACCCCGGGGCGGTGGCCTCTGTCTCCTGTCCCGTGCAGCCTGGGTGGCCCAGGGTGGCTGCAAGTCCTGCCCTTGGCCTTCCCACGGCTGCTGTGTCCGTCGGGGTCCTCCAGGGAGATGGACCCAACAGAAGACGTGGGGACACGTGCATCTGGAGGGAGGCTCCTTGGGGGCATTGGCTCAGGATTCCAGAGCTGGGGACGTCCCCGGACGTGTGTCTGTGAGCTGGGGATGGGAGCCCATGGTGTGGCTCGTGGGCAGCTGAGCAGATGGGCTGAACCGTGGCAGGTGGCCCTGGAGCATGGAGAGCGGGCTCGTTTGCTTAAGCAGTCCACATGTGAGGGGTTCCCTCCCAGCGCTGAGGGTCTGTGCTGGGCCGGCTGTCAGCAGCCCCCTGGTTTTGTAAGGAAGTGGCAGTGGCTGAAGCATCGTGTCAACCTGATTGCTCGTGGTGGGGGCAGGGGGCACCGTACGCCTGACTCCAGAAAGCCTGTGAGGAGTTCCCTGCAGAGATCTGCACGGGGGCGCAGCGGCTTCTCCTGCCCAGTGAGGTGGGCCGTGTCTAACCTGTCGAAGGCACGTATCCCACAGAGGGGAGGAAGTGTGTGTTTGCTGGGCCTTACCCCCAGCCGGGATACCCATCTTTTGTCGCCCTTGGCCATCCTGCTCCCAGGCATTCTGACTACACTTCTGCCAGCACCTTGGGGGCCTTGTGGAGCAAAGTGCCAGGTCTTAGGGCCACAGCTTGGCCTGAGTCTGTGGGCGGGCGCCCGGTGACTGGGCTCGGTTGTGGGAGGAGCCTGTGTGCCTCCTGTGGGGCAGAACCGTGTGGCTTTGGGGCTTGATGTTTGGATGGGGCTGATGTGGACACAGCGTATGTGCTCCTTGTGTACACTGTCCAAGGGTGAGGGCAGCTGTCCCAGTCCCTCGTCTGGGGCTCCCCGTGTCCTTGGGGGTCTTCCTCCTCCATTCAAAGCCCAGACAGTGAAGCACGTAGGCGGCCTGCCCCGTTTCTGCCGGTTCTGGGAATGCCCACGTAGCCACGTTGGCAGTCAGTCTGCTGTGCTGTGGTCAGGTGTGGGTTGAGAGGTTGTGTTTGGACACAGGATCACGCTGGTGGTGTCCCCCACCGACATCCCCCAGCCGCTCCCCCCGTGGGTGCCCGTGGACGTCTGCTGTCTTTCCGTGTATACCTCTGCATGCACACTTGCTCGGAGGGCGGAGGGTTGGGCTGACAGGTGGCCCAGGTGCACACGCAGGAGAGGACACAGATTTTCCCCTAATTTGGGGCTCATGGGCGGCTGGAGGGGAAGGAACCAACCCTAACCCTAGAGGCCCTGTAGGAGGCGGGGCTCTCTGGGGATCCTGCTCATGTGGCAGTCTCATGTGGCCTCAGCTCACATCTGGGGACGTGGGCTGCCCCAGGTGAGCTCAGACTGCTTGGGGTTCCAGAGGGACCACCTCTAGTGGAAGCTGAGGTTGGTGCCATTGGCCCAACAAAGAACTTCAGTTTGCTCTCGGGGACAGGCGTGTGTGGCAGAGCCCCGCGGGCACAGGTCCGTGTGGCAGAGCCCCGCGGGCACAGGTCCGTGTGGCAGAGCCCTGTGTGCACAAACCCGTGTGGTAAATCAAGCTGTGTGCCCAGCGTGTGTGGCAAAGCCCTGTGCAGGGTCTGGGCTCACGAGCATCCCCCCGCAGGCACTATGTGGGCGTGTTCTCCACCATGGAGTACGTCTTCCTGTTCCAGTTTGTGTATGCGGCCTACAGACCCATGGCGACCGCCGCGGGCGAACTCATCTGTAAGAGGTAAGGCAGGTGCCTGGCCACCCTGGGGCCCCTGATGGTGTCTCCAGGGCCGTGATGTCACTGTGATGTTGGAGGTGGGGTCCCCGTCCCATGTCCCGCGTCCCACCAGCTGCAGATCTGCAGATGGGGGTGGTAGGAGGAGGCCCCAGGACCCCAGAGAACAGCAGGGCCTGTGACCGGGGCTTATACAGGACTGCAGGTGTTGGGCCCCGAGGGACACAACGGGGTGCACACGAGCGTGAGACAGAAGGACACGCTGACCCAGAGTCTGGTACATGTGTGGGAGCAGACCAGCTTGATCCGTGTTGCAGGCACGTGCACACGTGGATTGGTTTGAGGAGGTGGTGGTGACCCCTTGTCCCTGAGGTCCCCTGAAGGTCCCCTGAGGCCCCCTGCGCCCCTCTCAGGTCCTCTGAGGCCCCCTGCGCCCCTCTCAGCTCCTCTGAAGCCCCCTGAAGCCCCCCGAAGCATGCTCCATATCCCTGAGGGCCCTCTTGGGCCATCGGGCCGTCTTGCCCTCACTGGCGGGTCTGCGTTCAGGTAAAGGTCCCCGCCTCTGGTTCTCTGGGGTTTGAGGTGCAGTGACGGGGGGGCCGTCTGGTTGTAGTTTCCCTCCCCAGTGCTGGCCCGAGCTGACAGTCAGCTCGGACAGACAGAAGTCAGTTCTAGAACTTTCCTCCGTGGTCTGCGTTCTGTCCCTGTGGCTCCCTGCTCTTCCTGCTGCCCGGGTTGTTGTGTGGACGGTGTGTGCAGACGAGTGCGCTGGAGTGCAGGTTGGCCCGGCCCCGCAGGACCTGGGGCCCGGCCAGGCGCACGGGGTCCCCCCTCCACGCCAGCACTGGGGTCACTGTCTCTGATCTCCCTAGGCTCCTGGCCCCTCCACCCCACGAAGGTTTCTTTGCTCAAGAGCCCCCTGACGAGTTTGATAGAAATCTCCAGAACATGAAGGCGCTCATCGACTTCTATCTGCAGGGCGAGGTGAGGGCCTGGCCGCGTGGGGTCCGGGGGCAGGGTGTCCGAGTCACGTGCGGGGCCCAGACTCGTGTCCCGTGCCTGCACCCTGTGTTCCGTGTCGTGTCCTATGTCGCATGTCCGCTTCCTGTGCTGGGCTGGAAAGGGGCTTGGCTCCCGTGTGGACGACACTGGCTGTGGGCACGTGGGAGTCACGTCCCTGGGTTGGTGTCTGCATGTGTCTCCATGGGACCACACATGGGAGGGTTGGGAAGGGAGCCGTTCCGGCCTGTGTCATTATTTGACCTCTTTGCCCCGTGTTGTCATTGTGTGACCTCCCTGCCCTGTGTCAACAGGTGTCTTCCCTGTCCTATGGTGTCATCATTGTGTGTCCTCCCTGCCCCTTGTTGTCATCACGTGTCCTCCCTGCCGTGTGTTGTCATCATCACTGTGTCCTCCCCTCCCAATGTCATCCGGTGTCCTCCATCCTATGTCATCGTTCCATGCCCTCCCTGCCCCATGGCATTACCATCACCGTATCCTCCCGACCCTGAGTGGCCGTCCTCACTGTGTTCTCCTTGCCCGTGTGTTCGTCAAATGACCTCCCTGCTCCGTGTCATCACATGTCCTCCTTTCACATTCTCACGACCTCACGTGTCGGGCACGTCCCTATCAGTTCCACAGACACGTCCCGTACCTGGTGGACGGCCTGTGGGAGGCAGCGCCCGCCCTGGTCCGGAACTGGGAGTGCATGACGGCCCTGCTGCTGGAGCCACGTGGCGGGCGCCAAGGTGAGCGTGGCCAGAAGCCTGCTCTGAGTCGTGGACCAGGGCCGTGATCCTGCCGGCCTCCCTGCTGTGCCTGCCAGGCCCACCATCCCCCACCCCGTGTCCCTCTGTCTCCCCCCACCGTGTCTCACTGTCCCCCCATGTCCTGCCATATGCATGTCCTACTGTCCCCATCCACCACTGTCCCTGTGTGCTGGTGTCCCGTGTTCCACTATCCCCATACTCATATACTGCCCCCATATCCCGCTGTCGCGTGTCCCACTGTCCGTATCCCCCGTGTCCCACTGTCCCTATCTCCCATGTACCATTGTCCCTGTCCTCCGTGTCCCACTGTCTCGGTGTCCCACTATCCCTATACATGTCCCACTGTCCCCATTCCACATATCCCACAATCTCTGTGTCCTGCTGTCCCCCCATGTCCTACTGTCCTCATGCCCCGCCCCAGGTCCCATTGTCCCCATCCCCAATGTCCCACCATCGCCATCTGCCACTGTCCTCCTTCCACTGTCCCCATCCTCCATTCTACCGTCCCCATGTCCCACTGTTCCTGTGCCCTGCCACTATCCTATTGTCCCCATCCCCCATGTCCTACCATCCCCATCTCCCACGGTCCTTGTCCCACTGTCCCCGTCCTCCCTGTCCTACCGTCCCCGTGTTTCACTGTCCCCTTGTGTCCCCCATCCCTGTCCCAATTCCTACTCTCCCCCACCTTGTGTCGCCCTGTCCCTGTCCCGTCATCCCTGCCATCCCGCCGGGTGTCCTCCCGTGCTGTCTGTGACACCGGCTAGTAGCACGTGGTGCAGGCAGGCCTGTCAATGCCTCCTGTGATGTGCGTGCTCCTTGAGTGCTTGGCTGGGGGGGAGGGGCATGTGCCATGCTTTCCTGGGGTGAGAGGGCCTTGGGTCTAGAGCATGTGGTTCACGGGTCCCTGGTCGGGGGTCTATAGGACGAGGGCCAAGGGCTGCTCTCCTGTAAGAGCCCCTGAAGCTTCAAGCCTGGCCCCAGAGTCAGGGTGCAGTGCGGGCAGAGTGTCTGGTGAACGAGCCCCCAACAGCTGGGACCCCCTTCCCCCATCCCTCTGAGACCCTGCCCCCCACCCCCGACACCACTCGCAAGGAGACTGCCCCCCATGCTGACACGGTCCTCCACAGCCCTACCCAAGGCCCCGCCACTCTGAGATCCCGCCTCCCCGACCCCGTGCTGCACACACGATCCCTGTGCCCACTGGTTCCTTCGCCGTCTGCTGCAGCGTCCTCTAGTAACAGCAGGAGTCCCAGTGCCACATCTCCGGCGTCGAGGCCCATCACGTTCCTTGGCGGGACCAGCAGCCTCCACCATGCTCCCTGGGCTCACCGAAGGGGCGTCTTTCTTTATCGTGAGGATGCCTCCTCCACTCTGACCCAATGTCTGGGGCCCAGCTGTGTGGTCTCTGTTTTCCTTGCCTCTGTGTATGAGCCTTGGCTGTCCCTGGGCTCGTAGGGGCACCACATCTAGGATGTGGGACACAGGACAGGAGGACCCACATGTGAAGTTGCACAGTAGTTGTGACAAATTACCTCACATCTGGTGGCTTAAACCAGAATCCATCCTCTCCCAGCTCTGGAGATGAGATCCAGGCGGGGCAGGGATGCTGAGATCCAGGTGGGGCGGGACAGGGCCACTGAGATCCAGGCGGGGCCAGGCTGGGCTCCCTCCTGAGGCGCCAGGAGAGGGTCCTTCCTGCCTCTTCCAGCTTCTGGGGCTCCAGGCATCCCTGGGCTGGTGGCCGCGTCCCTCCCATCTCTGCCTCCGTCCTCATGGGGATTCTCCTCTGTGTGTGTCTCCTGTTCTTGCTCTCACAAGGACACCTGTCCTTGAATCTAGGGCCACCCTTTTTTCCGATAAGTTCCATCCCATTCTGAGATTCTGGGTGGGTGTGATGAGTTAAAGTTACCATAGAACACCCCGATGAACAGACTGTCCCCTCGACTGGATGGTTTTAGACCTGAGTCCCGGGATACGGGGACAGCGGCGGGGGAGCCCCAGGGAGGAGTGCTCTGAGCCCCACATGGAGGTGAACGGGCCAACGGTGGTTTGCTTTGTGGGCAGTTTGAGCAAAGGGCGGGCCCTGGTTGCTGTCCTCTGCGTGTCCGGGAGTCTGAGCTCTGCTGGGGTTCTGTTGTGCCTAGGAGCCTGGCCACGCTCCCCACACGCTCTGAGCCCGTGCTGGGCTTACCGAGGCCTGTCCGAGGGGCACATCTCTCCAGAATGTTCTGTCTCTGGGGAGGTCAGAGTGTGCTGAGCTAGCGCTGTCTCCCCGCAGCCCTGACAAGCCAGCAGGAAAGAGTGCTCATTGAGATCCTCGTGGCCGCCGTGAGACAAGCTGCAGAGGGGCGCCCGCCTGCTGGCCGGCGCCTGGGCAAGAAAGTCAGTGCCACCCCCGCCCCCTGCCTTGATGCCCTTCGTCCCCTGTGCTGAGCGCTCTGCTGTGGCTGTCATGCCAGGGCTCTGTGGGCGCCCGCTCCCTCCTCCGCCTCGCAGTGCCCCCCGCCCGCGTGGCCCTGAGAGCCGCTTGCCGCTGCTTCCGCCTTGTGCTTGTCACCCTGGCTGCTCACTTGGCCCCTGGCCGTGCGGGCGGGACTCCTGGCCACCCAGGTAGGTGTCGTTGGCCACGCCTTGCAGCTGCTGCCCACCCCTCCTGCTGGCTACCGAGCCCTGTGCCCGCTGGGTCCTGTGTCTGCCGTCTGCCTCCCCGGGGAGGGCACACCACAGCCTTCCTTATGCCGTGTTCACTCTGGATGTAGCTGTTTGTCGGCCGGCCTTTGATTTGCCTCCGTGTGAGCCTCTGCTGCTGCTGGGACGAAAGATCACACCCCAGGGGCCTTAGAAACCACAGGAGTTATGCATGGTGCCCCAGCTCTGGAGTCCAGAGTCTGAGATCCAGGCAGGGCAGGGATGATGAGATCCAGGCGGGACAGGGATGCTGAGTTCTAGGCAGGGCAGGGATGCTGAGATCCCAGTGGGGCAGGACGTCTGAGATCCAGGCGAGAAGGGCTGTGTTCCCTCCTGAGGCTCCAGGGGAGGGTTCTTCCTGCCTTTTCCAGCTGCTGAGGCTCCAGGTGACCCTGGGCTATGGTTGAGTCCCTCCCACTTCTGCCTCTGTCCTCCCATGGCTGTCATGTTCTCCTCTGTGCACATGTCCAGCTGTGTGTGTTAATCTCCGTTTTACGACACCAGTACTACTAGATAAGGGTCCCACCCTCAGGTGTGACCTTGGGGGAGACAGCTGAGCTCTTGGTGGCGTCCCTGCATGGGAAGCTCTTCCTTGGAATCAAACACCCGAGTAGTTGTCCCGAGTTTTATCCTTGATTTGGGGGGAGCTCTGCCTGGGTGTGACCTCGCCATGTGGGAGCAGGTCCCAGGGCCGCCGTGGGACTCACGTGGGTCCATCGTGGGCTCAGGCCACGCATGCTCTGCCTGCAGGCCGCCAGGGAGGTGGACGGGACCCGCCGCTGGCGTGAGCATGCCAACATGAGCCGACACTTTGCCAAGGCACTGCCCCGGCTGCTCTCCAAGGTGCCAAGCGGGGAAGGGCCCAAGGCGGAGAGCCCAGGGAGGCTGGGGGAGCGCCAGGGCAGGCCAGGAGGCTGCAGAAGCGAGGGGAGGCTGGGGGGCTCCGCGTCACGCCTCTCTCTGGGCAGTTTGCAGCGGACAAAGAGAAGGTGACCCCCCTTCTGCAGATCCCCCAGTATTGCAACCTGGACGTGTATGACATGGATGGCCTGGGCTCGGTACGTCGCAGGACTCTGCTCCTGCTCCCTGAGCTCTGCGTGTGGGGGCCACACCCCTCCTTCGCAGGGTCCCTGCCCCACCCCTTGTCTGGGTCCCAGCATGGGGCCACGGGCCATCTCCCTGGAGTTTCAGGTGTCGGGCTGCTGTCCTCTTCCTATCCGCACTGCAGGGCTGGGCCATCACCCACGCTTGGGACAGGGTCCAGACCACCCCCCATGCTTGCGGGTCCTCTGACCTTATTCTCATGGCGCCATGCCCCCCTCCCTGCACTGCAGCTGCTCCTTTAGCCCTGACCTTCTCCCAAACCCCGTGACCTTTCACTCCACTCCTGACCTTTCCCCTGAACCGTACCATCCCCTGCCCCCCACCTAACCCCTGATCAACTTTTCCCTGACCCTTCATCTTCTCTCAACCCTGTGACTCCTGGCGGTGCCCGCTATGACCTCTGACCTCTCTTCCTCACGCTCACGACGTTTTCTCTGAACCCCTGACCTCCTGCCGATCCCCTGACCTTTCCTCCTCTGCGTCACAACCCCTGACCTTTTCTCACCACCCCGCACTGCGCCCCCGACCGGTCCTTTGCCCCCCGCCCCATGCAGTACCTGGACGCGGCGCTGCTGGAGCTGGACTGCCTGGTGCAGCGGCACTCGGACGTGGCGGTGCTGGAGGCCTGCGCCCGCGCCTACGGCACGTACTGTGATGAGGGGGGCTCTGCGCACTGCCAGGCCGCCCCCGCCTGCAGCCGGCTGGTGGACATGCTGGTGGACGCGCTCACCCCACTGCTGGACGTGTTCATCCAACATGAGGTGCAGGCCGGGGGTCTGTGACGGGGGTGCACGCGGGGGTGCGGTTCTCTGTTGGAGCCCCAGCTGGTCTCGCTGCCCCTGTGACGGGAGGGGGAACGTGTGCGGCGGGTGACCAAGGATTCCACTGCTCTCCGCGGGAGCCCCATTAGCCCCCGGAAGACCGTCCTGCCGGAGGCGCTGCCCTGTCTGCACTTGGCGGGCAGATGGTTTCCGTAAAGAGCCGCGTCATAAACACATTTGGCCAGGCGGGTGCTCCTGTGCTTGGGTGGTGGTCCAGGAGCACCGGACACAGCGCGTCACTGGGCTACGTTCCAGTAAAACTTTATTGACGCAGACGGGCTGAGGGCCGTGTGGCCTGTGGGCCTGGCATCCGGCCCTGATTGAGGCTCTTTGCTGGTGACGCCCTGCTTGTTTCCACAGGCAGGACTCCAGGTTGCTCTGGAACCTGGGCCTGCCGCGATTGTGGGGTGCTGCAGGTCAGCAACACACTTCTCTATCTGTTCTGTCAGCTGTAAATGGAGAAACGTATTCCCTGTGGCAGGTTCTTGGCAGGGATGTGAGGCCAGCGCATGAGACGGGAGGTCTCAGATCCCGACGGTCTTTGTTCTGCAGCCTACGTGTCTTTGAGGGTGTCCTCTGGTCCCCTTCGTGTCCTGCAGAGCTGGACACAGAATGGCCCGGGGCACTGTTTCCCTTTGGAGATCTTAAAGAGCTGCCTTCCGGAAAGTTGGGGACAGAGCAGGCAGGACACGGGCCTGGCTCGAAGCCGGACCGGTGTCCTGAGGAAGCCCCCCCCTGGAACGTGTGTCTCCCGTCACCACCCCCTCTGCTCTCTCCCCACTGTGTAGAAGCAGGGCCTGTTCCTTGGACACGGTGAGATGGGGCGGATCTGCTCCACGCTGCGGAGACTGGCTGCCTTCTACAGGTGAGGGGGGCAACACGCCCGTTCCCTTGGGGGAACAACCCCTTGGGCTCGTCCCCTTGGGAATGACCCCCAAGCCATGTGCCTGCTGCCTTACTCTGACAAATGTCCCCGTGTCCCAGGTGAGGTAGGGAGGACTCAGACCTTTGGGCGGGTGTCCTGTGGGTGTGCCTGGTGGCTCTGGGCCACCTGGGAGCCCATCCTGGCCATCCGGGCCCCTGAGCTGCGTCCCCAGGAGTGGGGACGGTCTCACCAGGCAGGTGCTGGACATCATACTGGAGGGAGCCCAGCTGGGCCATCTGGGGTTTGTGGCCCCTCAGTCTGCCAGGAGGTGATCCCTCAGCTCCGGGACCTACTGACCAGTGTTCGCGGCTCACCTGGGGGACGTCGGAGCTCCTGGTGGGGATGAGCCCTAAATCCTTGTGTGCATTTCTGGCCAGTGCACACGACCTGAGCAGCTGGAATCTGTATGAGAAGATGGACAGCCTGCTGACTTTCCGCCGGCACCAGGGCAGCCTGCCCACTGAGGTGAGGGCAGAGGGTGTCGGGTGGGTCCTTGTTGGGGGATGGGGGTGGGTTCTGGGGAGAGAAGGGTCTTGAGGGAAGGGAAGCATGGGGGGGAGGGTCCTGAGGAGAGGGGTCCCGAGGGGAGGGAAGCATGGGGGGGACAGGTTCTGGGAGGAGAGAAGGGTCCTGAGGGGAGAGGGAAGGATGGGGAGATGGGTTCTGAGGAGAGAGAAGGGTCCTGAGGAGAGGGAAGCATGGGGGGAATAAGTTCTGGTGGGAGAAAAGTATCTAAGGGGAGGGAAGCATGGGGGATTCCTGAGGAAAAGGAAGGGTTCTTAGGGGAGGAAAGCATGGTGTGGGACAGACCTGAGGGGAGAGAAGGTCCTGAGGGAAAGGAAGCATGGGGGAGGGGATGGTTCTGAGGAGAGGGAAGGGTCCTGAGGGGAGGGAAGCATGGTGGGGAGGGTCCTGAGGAGAGAGAAGAGTCCTGAGTGGAGGGAAGCTTGGTGGGGGCCAGGTCCTGAGGGGAGGGAAGCATGGAGAGACCTGAGGAGAAGAGTCCTAAGAGGAAGGAAGCATGGGGAGACGCATCTTGAGGGGAGGGAAGCATGGGGGTGGGTCCTGAGTGGAGAGAAGTTTCCTGAGGGGAGGGAAGCATAGGGGGAGTGCCTGAGGGGAGAGAAGGGTCATGAGGGGAGGGAAGCATAGCGGGGGTTCCTGAAGAGAGAGAAGAGTCATGAGGGGTGGGAGGCATGGGTAGGTCCTGAGGAAAAGGAAGGGTTCTGAGGGGAAGGAAGCATGGTAGGGGACAGGCCTGAGGGGAGAGAAGGTCCTGAGGAAAGGGAAGCATGGGGGCGGTGGACGATGGTCCTGAGGAGAGGGAAGGGTCCTGAGTGGAGGGAAGCTTGGTGGGGGCCAGGTCCTGAGGGGAGGGAAGCATGGCGAGGAGAGGGTCGCGAGAGGAGAGGGGATGGAAGCATGGGGGGATGAGTTCTGATGGGAGAGAAGGGTCCTGAGGGGAGGGAAGAATGGAGGCGGAGGGTCCTGAAGGGAGGGTAGCATGGGCGGAGGGTCCTGAGGGAAGAGACATGTCATGAGGGGAGCAAAGCATGGGGAGATGGGTCCTGATGGGAGAGAAGGGTCCTGAGGGGAGGGAAGGGCCCTGAGGGGAGGGAGGCGTGGGGCGGGGCGCGGAGGGTCCTTAGTGGAGAGAAGGATCCTGAGGAGAGGAATGGTCCTGAGGGGAGAGAAGGGTTCCACGGGGGTGTGGGGCAGATTCTTGGTGGAGAAGGATCTTGGAGAGAGATGGGTCTTGGGGGGCTGTAGGGTCCTGAGAGGGGGACAGATCCTGGGGCAGGAGGATCGCAGGAGTTGGGGGTCGGTAGGGTCCTGAGTGGGGGGCAGATTCTGAGGGGAAAGGGACCAGGAGAGTGTCCTGATGGAGGGGGAGAGGATCGTGGAGGGAAAGAAGGGTCCCGGTCAGGGAACAGGCCCTGAGTGGGGGAGGGGCAGGTACTGGGTGAGGTCTCCGGGTTCTCTGCTAAGGAGTGTCCCCAGGGTGGGTGTCCCATCCACATCCCCAACTCCATGACAGGCCCTGCGCCCCACAGGTTGTGCACTGTGCCCTCCAGTGCACCTACTATGCGCTCCTGTGGCAGATTGTCGCCGCCACGGACCGGCTGCCGCCCCAGGTGGGTGAGGGGTGCGGAGGAGGTCAGGCGTGTGGTCTGTAGTAGTCTGTGAGGAGGGAAAGATGGAGTGGGATAGAGCCAGCACTGCCACTGTGACAGACGTCTGCCCCACCAGTGGCTGGCGTCTGTCATCCCGGGGTCCGCCTGCGCTCCTCGACTCCGACGTGAGAGCTGACTTGGGCTGTGGCCAACATCACCACCCAGCCTGCCCGCCCGCCATGGGGAGCGCGGCTCAGATGATCTGAGGACCTGCCCCTGTGCGCTGGGGGAGACCCTTGTCCTTCCTTGGCTGCTGGCCAGGCCCTTAGTTTGGAGCCAGCCACACTTTGGGGTTATATTTATGGTTTCTTGGAAATCTGCAGGCTGAGTTCCTTGGGAGGGAGTTTAGACCTGTGTGGGGAGATTATGGTGTGGGGGATGATGGAGATACGGGGAGGGGGACATAGGGGGATGGGGAGGGGACATGGGGTAAAGATGGGGGAGGGCAAGGGGGCCATGGGGCTAAAGACGAGGGAGGGAGGGGATGACGAGGGGGATGGGGAGGCGGACGCGAGGGCGAGGACGGTGGTTGATCTGTGCGGGGATGTACCTCATGCCGGCTCGCCTGAGGCGGGCAGGTACGTGGAGCTGGCGCCGGGGCTCCGCTGACGGGGGCACCTGCGCGCCGGCTGTCCGCTGGCAGGAGGCGCTCCTGGACTTGAGGAAGAGGCTGCTGAGGTTCTGCCTGGTGTGCCGAGTGTACCTGAACCACCAGAGCAAGGTGCTGAGCGAGAAGGTGCGTGCGTCCCTCTGCGAGCTCGCGGGTGCTGCCACGGCTGGCGGAGCAGGAGGGGCGTTAGCCACGCCGGGGACGTGGGCTGGAGCGCATCAGGGTTAGGGTTTTCTGCGACGCCGGTTCCTGCTCTCCGTGGGTGTCTCGTACGATGACGTTTGCTCTTGAACGATGAGGGCAAGGCCTGAGGGGGGCCACCATCGCGTCGTGCGAGCATCTTACATCTTTGAAGTTGTTTGCACGCCCTGGTTCGCGGGAGCCCAGAGCCCACGCGCACGGCACCGGTACCCAGGAGCCCGCGTGCACGGCCCGTTCGAACCACCGCACCCGTCTGGGGGTCGCTCCCATGATCCGGTCCACGTGCCGCGGTGGTGGACACGCTGGGCGTGAACTCGCAACCGCCGTGTCTGGAGGTTGCCGTACACGGAACCTTCAGGGCCGTCCCCTGTCTGCGGGGAAACTGTTCTGAGGGCTTCTGGACGCTGGACGCAGGCGCCCGTTTCCTGCCACCTTCCGCGCCGGGGCTCCGGCGTTCTTCCCGTGCGCGTGTAAATTCTCAGAGTTCCAGAATTTCCTCTCCCGCTACCTTACATAAAACCTCGCTCTTGTCGGACTTGTGGCCGACTGAGGAGGTCGAGTGTGCGGCTCCTTTTCCAGCGGCTGGGCTCTGCCCTGTGACCCTCCCCACCGCGGGTCACCAGCACGTGTCCGTGCTGTCCCGCCTGTGTGGCTCCGGTCCCGGCCGCGGTCCATGCCGCTGCGCCGCCCGGATGTGGGGGACGTTTGCGTTCAGCGTGTGTGTTGTGTGTGGCTGTGAGGCGTTGTTCGTGGTTGTGTCGCCCGCGTGCTGTCTGTCCGCGTGTCGTCTGTCTCCGGTGTTCCGCTTGCGGCCTGGGGTTCAGCGGCGCATGTCTTTCGGGGCCCCTCCCCGCCCTGTGGCTCTCATCCAGCCCTGGGTTGGCCTGGGCAGCTGGGGGACACTAGACGGGGTCCATCCCTGGGGGGTGAGTGCCTCTCCCTGTCGGTGCCCCCTCACCCCACAGCCCCTCGCCCCCCTCAGGCCTTCATCCTGCTGTGTGACCTGCTCCTCATCCTCAGCCACCAGGGCCCTGAGGAGGACACGGGCCTGGGGCTGCTGTTCTTCGTCCCCGACCACGTGCTGCAGTGCAAGCTCCTCACCTTTGTCAAGGAGCATGTGTTCCTGGAGGAGGCCGGAGCTGCAGGTCAGCCTCCCGGGAACTTGGGGCAGGGACGGAGGAGAGACCTGGAGTGGGGACAGCTGGGGCAGCCTGGGGCAGGAGGTGGTCTGGGCGGTAAGGATAGGGCATGACCTTGGGCCGGGAGGGGGCGGGGGGCTGCAGTAGAACGGTAGGGGGACCTCAGGGGGACCTTGGGGGTTGGGCACCGTTGGAGCAGACCGGGGGCAGGAGGGCCTGTGCAGGCTTCGGGTGGCAGGTGGACGACACTCGTCGGGGGCTCAAGCGTGCTGGGGTCTGGAGCTGCATTTCCCAGGCACGTGTCTTCTTGGTTCACGCTGCCACGGAGGAGTCGGGGGAGCCCGGGCCAGGCGGTCAGGACCTGGAAACACAGGGACCCCATGACACTAAGCTCTTCCTCTGTGGCCCTGGGTCTGCGCTCTGGGGTCAGCATGTCCCGTGGGGGTTCTGAGCCACGGCCATCCTGGCACCGGTACACGGAGAGGACGCTGGCACCCCTAAGCCCCCCGGAGCCGTGTCCCCGCCCGCCCCACGGCTCCGCCAGGGCCAGGCGGCCGCACGAGACACAGCGGAGTCCGACTGCCTCGGCAGGGCCCAGCAGAGTTTACAAGGAGGAGGACGCGGAAGAGCTGCACGAGCTGTTCCACCGGAGAAACATGCTGGCCGTGTTCTGTAAGCTTGTCGTCTACAACGTGCTGGAGATGAGCGCGGCCGCCGACATCTACCAGTTCTACCTGAAGGTCTCTGCCCGGCTCTCCCGTCCCTGCAGCCCGAGCTCACCCTCCCCCGCCCCCTGCTCTCCTGTGTGAGACACGGAATTGGGGTAGAAAGATTCCAAAAAAGAGGAGATGAGTGGAACGTACTCAGACTTACGGGCTCCCTGTCGTTAACCTGTCCTCCCGTTTCCTCCGACGGCTCCCGTGGGTGAGCCCACCTGTGTGCGTGTGTGGGCGGCATTCCTGTGAGCGTCTCCTAAGCCTTTTTCTATCACTCACGCCTCTCCCCAAACCTGAGTCCCGGGGAGTGTCTTCATTTAGGACCTCACTTCTTGTCTTTGAAAACTCTGCGGTCTTGTTCAGTGAACCATTGCTGCTCTCATTCCATTCTTCCATTGCTACTGAGATTGCACGCGAGCTGCGTGAGGGCTGCAACGTGATCCTTGATGTGCCCCAAGTGATCATCATGAGGGCCTGGCACGGAAGGAGGCCCAGAAGTTTCCATGAGTGAATGGATGGGTGAATGGATGACTGCATGGACGGATGGATGGATGGGTGGATAAATGGATGTGTGGATGGACAGATGGGTGGATAGATGGATGGGTAGATGGATGGATGGATGGATGGATGGATAGGTGGGTGGGTGGGTGGATGGATGGATGGATGGATGGAAGGATGGGTGGATGGGTGGGTGGATGGATGGATGGATGGATGGGTGGGTGGGTGGGTGGGTGGATGGATGGGCAGGTGGGTAGACGGTTGGGTAGATGAATGGATACATGGGTGGATGGATGGGTGGGTGGATGGATGGATGGATGGATGGGTGGATGGATGGGTGGGTGGGTGGGTGGATAGATGGATGGGCAGGTGGATAGACGGTTGGGTAGATGAATGGATACATGGGTGGATGGGTGGATGAGTGGACGGGTACATGGCTGGGTGTGCAGATAAACAGATAACTAGATCGGTGGGTAGGTGGTTGGTTGGATAGCTAGATGGATGGATAAATGGGTAGATATATGGGTGGATGGATGAATGAATGGGTGGGTGGGTGGATGGATGGATGGGTAGATGAATGCATAAATGGGTGGGTGGGTGGATGGATGGGTGTGCAGATAAGCAGATAACTAGATGGGTGGTTAGGTGGTTGGTCGGATAGCTAGATGGATGGATAAATGGGTAGGTGGATGGGTGGATGGATGGATAAATGGGTGGGTGGATGAGTGGATGGGTAGGTGGATGGATCCGTGGAACAGGTGGATGGATGGATGAGTGAACAGGTGGGTAGTGGATGGATGGATGGGTGGATTCAGTCACTGTCACATTCGTAGAAATTGTCATTTCAAGATCTTTTGGCGTCTTGTAATTAGATGGAGACATTGGCTCTTTGTTATTTGTGGGAAAAATGTTCCTTTGATGACTTTTTCATTCTGAGTTTTATTTATGTGGTGGTGATTCTTTTTTCCCTGTTTTAAGCTCACATGATCCTGAGCTCTGTGGCGTGGGGTGTAAGGACAGTCTGGCCTGGGTTTTCCCTTCCCTCCTGTGTTTTGGGCGGCGCTCTCCTCTCCCGAGACTTAACCTCTTAACGTCCTGAGCCTCCCTGTGTCCTGGGGGCCGTGTCGGTGCCCGGCTGTTGTCGCACGTTTGGGTTTGGGCTGCTTCCACACTGGCTGGGGCAGGTCGGTGTGGCTCTGAGAGGCTCGGCTCCCTGGCTCGCCTGCCCTCCCTGTGGAAGGAGTGCCCCTGAGGGACAGGGCCAGCCAGTGCTGGGGGCACAGCCGGGTCCTGGTCTGGGAAGCCTGATGGCCCCAGCTTTCCCAGGTCCATGGGATGTGCCCTCCCCGCCAGCCCAGGACCCGGCCCCCGGCCCTGGCTGGTGCTGAGTGCTCGGCGGGATCCCCCTGTGCGAACTTCCCGGGACACAGACACTGGGTCTGAGCCACGTGGCTGTCCATAGTCTGCAACTTGGGAAGGCGGCATAGGAAGGGGTTGGTGCATCTGTCGTCTCCGTGTTGATGGTCCTTTCCTCCCACTCGCAGCATTACCATCACTTTGGGGACATCATCAAGGAGACCATGACCCGGACGAGGCAGAACGACAGGCTTCGCAACGCGCTGTCCCTGCTCCTGTGTCTGCAGCAGGTGAGTGGCCTGTCCCGGAAGGGCTCACGGCATCCTGGGACCGGTCCCCGCGGCTCCGGGCCGCAGTGCGTCGCCCAGCCCTGGGGGGCGTGCCTGCTTGGGGACACGCCAGGCACGGGTCCTGCTGGGCCTCACTGCCCGCTCCTCGGGAGCCCTGCGCGGCCCCTCGTGGTGGCGGACCAGTCAGACCCTGACGCCTCCTGGTGCTGGAGGCTGCGGCCCCAGGGCTGCATCCTAGTGGGCTCAGGTTCTGGGGAGACCTTTGGAGGGTCACAGATGGCACCCCCTGCCGGGTCCTCACGTGACCACAGGTGAAACACGGGGACCTCTCTCTGGACATGTAAGAGGACGAGACCCCACCATGGGGGCCCCGCCATGTGACCCTCTCGGCTCCCAACCACCTTCCAAGGCCCCCACCACCCCAGCAGCCCCCAGGAGGCCCGGCTTACACCTGTGGACTTTGGGGGCAGAGCCCACGGACGTTCAGTCCCGCACAGCTGGTTTCTGTGCTCTGTCCACCTCCCGGTGAGGGCACTGTTTGGATGGGTTCCCCTGCTGCTCAAGGACTGGACGTGGTCAGGGGTGTGTTGTGGGGACATACGGCAGCTCGTGGTGTGTGCCCAGGGCTGCTTAGGTGGACAGGGTGTCACTCCGTCCTCTTGTGCACGGAGCGGCTGGGCTCCAGCATCGGGCTGGACTGTCCCCTGGAGGCCTTCAGGTGTCGTCTTGCACACTGAGCTAGGTCTCCTGATGGTCACTCGGCTTGTCCCCGACTCTCAGGGTGGTGTCCCCCTCCCGCATCAACTGACCCTCAGGGTGGACATCCCCCTCCCCCATCAACTGACCATCAGGGTGGGCGTCCCCCCCCACCTGCTGACCCTCAGGGCGGTGTCCACCCCCCGACCATCCACCGATCCTGAGGGTGGGCGTCTGCCTTCTCCACATCAGTCTGTCTTGACACCGTGTGAGTGCGTGTCCTGGGTCTGACTCTGGTCCTTCCATCCCCGTGGCAGCTGGTTCACCCAGATCTGTGGAACCACGACTGGACACGTGGCTTGTTCGTGCTCTGTTATGCTGCCAGACGAGTGTGTCTGCCTGTAGTTGGGTTTCCGTCCACGTGTGGGGAGTTCTCGCAGAGGCCGTGTGGGCTTCCGTGGCAGCGGCGACTCGGGACTCCATGACTTCTGTCCCTTCTCTGCCCGATCCTGGCTTTGTGCACTGAGTCTGGGGCTGCCCACCGGCTTGAGCTCTTTGCAAGGCCTGCCTTTGGTCCTCAGTGCTAGGGTCACGGCTTCCTACACGGCTGACTGTGGCCGGTGTCCGTGGTGCCATGGGCGCCGTGGACTCGTTTCTCTCTGGGGAGCTGAGCCTCCGTGGGTGTATCAGGAAGGGCTGGAATCTGGCATCCCCGCTGCCAGTGTGGGTTCCTGGTCCTTGTGCCCATTCTGCCGGGGGGTGCGGTGGCCAGGCCTCTCCGCGGCCACTTGCTAGACCATCTCTGTCCCGTGGTTTTCCTGGAACACGGCTTCTCGGTCCCGATGTCACAGGCCATGCGGACTCTTGGCCCCAACACTGAAGTCTGCCTTTAGGTTGGACTGTTTCCTGCCATTTTCTGTTCCTTTGGAAACGGCCTCCCTCCTCCTGGCCCAAGAACGGGTCTGCGTGTACGACACTGAGGTGACCCTCATTCCCCAGAGCAAGCATGGCACGTCAGGGGCACCTTCCTGTCGTCTCAAGCCCCCTCGTGTCCCATTTGGTGTGTGCTTTCCCTGTAAATCAGGAGTGCCGTCCTCCTCGTGGGTTTTCTGTTGCGTCTGACACGCACACGGGAGCTGTGGCTGACCAGGTGGGACGTGGGCAGTACGGGTGTGCAGGGGACGTTTGCAGGCTCCTGGCTCCTGGGCGTGTCTTGGTCTGTGCCACCTGCTCCCCGCTCCCCGGCATCCCGGCCTCAAGGTGGCTGTCCCAAGGACCCCTGCCCTGTCCCCCGTGGATGTCATCGGCCGGGGCCGCTGTGCTCCGGGAACTTGTCCCTTCTCTGTGCTGTTTTACCTCTAGGGGGTGGTGGGAGGTGGAGGGAGGCGTCTCGGGATGTGCTGAACCTCGGTTTGTGGGACATGCCCCTGGTGGCCCTGACCCCACCGCCCCTGTGCTCCTACAGCTGTTCCAGAAGCACGTGGACACGTATGGCATGGGCTACGACCCCATCGAGTTCATCTGCGGCCCCTTCTACTCCATCCGGCTGTTGGCACGCCGCTTTGCGCTCACCCTCGGCTTTGACCGTGCCCGTGACGCGGCCCACCTGATCCACAGGTACCTGCTGGTACGGGGTGCTGTGACAACACCCTACACACCCCAGCCCTGGCCTGACCTCACCTGACACTGTGCTCCCCAGTCTGACCCTGTCTCTGGTCTCACCCCACCTGACGCTGTGCTCCTCACTATGACCCCCATCTCCGGTCTGACCCCACTTGATGCTGTGCTCCCTGCTTTGACCCTGTCCCCGGTCTGACCCCACCTGACGCTGTGCTCCCCGCTGAGACCCC